GACAGTGGCGTGCTGTGCCCTGCCCATTATCTCGTTAGTCTCCCCGAACGCAAGATTATTTATCGATATATGAAATTCTCTATTATATTGTTTAACTTCATTTGTTATAGGTATGAAGGTTATGAAAGAATATTACAAAAATATGAAAATACTCTAGACTTCTACTTTAGACAACAAAAGTGTACTTCGTATAAATTTTTAATTCATTCAAGATAATAGAGTGTTGCGACCCCTAATTAATTCGCCACATCCAGGAAGCTATTCAGTGAAGATCCCTCGGGAAAAGAGCGACTGATCCACTTGTGGCGTCTAATTGGTCTATGAGCAACGTATTCTGTGCGTTTTTGCTACATTCGCCTCCTTTTATACTACCAAACCTCTTGAATTTCCATGAAAAGAACGTTTAATGGGTGCAGCTCTAATAGCTTATCTATCAGAACACAAATGAACCTTCTTGCACTGGAAATAGAACTCAATACTGTATACAGTCGGGCTATCAATACGTTTGATCATACCGGTACCCACTTGAGTCTGTAGTGCGGTGCGGTGAACAGTCGGCGCTCCCCTTACAATATGTTGTTTCGGTCTTCGATATTATCGCATCGCATTGGGGATTGGGGAACATACGTGCTGGCCATAAAGGACGATTTATCGGTATAAGTTATTCAATTTCCCATTAATTTTATTATTTCCATCGAGTAGTTGCAGAAAAAAAATTAATTTAGTAATGAACTTATTATCATTATAACAGTTAAAGCCTCGTATGTAACGTATTGTAAATGTTTGTAAATCTTTATAACTTAGTAAGTACTACTTGATTTTTAATAATAAGACACTGATAAATAACTGTGATGATACTACCTATTTTTAATAATAAAATGATGACACTATTTAATCCGACAGTGTATAATTCCTAAATTAATAAATGTAAATAGCTCACAACATTATTGAACAGATTTTATACATAAAATTAGGCTTGAGATATTTTATGTATAACTGTACCTCAGACAAGAAAATTTAAAACTATGTATTTAATAATATCGAAACGGTTTTTTGTTATTATTTAGAATTTATCGCGATTAAACACGTTTTATTTTATAAATGTCATAAAATATTTTTTTTAAATAAAGTATAAACACATGTAATTATTATAATTGTTCTATTTTGAATTAACTGTGCTATAATGTACTGATCTTACTTACACCATTATCTTAAAAAAAAAAGGTGCATAAACAATCACCAGTCCCAGGTGCCCGACGGAATCTTCGCGTCTTTGAGTATAAAACATATTTAAATGTAATTTCATATTCTTTATAATATTTCTGCAGCTTTAGACAATGTAGTTTCTCAACATTATTTCTTACTGACATTAAGAAAGTAAATTAAAAGCTGCCGCGGATGTCGTGGGAGTGCATCGTCTCTTTTATTGCGCTTTCCATTAGTATGTCATCAATCACTCAGATAATACGTAAAACTATGCCACCTCCTTACAAACTAATAATTGAGCTCATTGACAGCAAGTGTAACTAAATAAAAAATTTGCATACTCAATGAGCCTTTGATACATTTCTGTTAACTTGTTAATTGAATTTCGAATCACTAGTCATGTAGGCAATTTATTTTTGTCTTAATTAATATCGATTATTTGTCGACCCACTGATAACACCTAAATTGATATATCAATTTTCAGAATGCTATTAGTATGTTCCTTCCAATACTGTTGCAGATTATTACTACTATAACATACTAATATAATAAAAGTATTTGAATATCCATTCTGCAATGCGTCGTACCCCACCACCTTTTCACTCAAATCAAAATCGACATTTGAATAAGAAATACGATATTATTAGTAGGTCAGTTTTTAGGAATATTTAAAACAGTATAGGTTATAGTAACTTCAAAGGACGGCGATAAAAGAAAGAGAATAGAAATATTTGGACTAACAAATCCGTGATTATCATTAGCTATATCAAATCGCCTCAAACTTGTAAATAAAAAGTTTTACAAAAAGGTTTTACATTTTACAATGAATTGAGGTATCGAGTGAGTAAATATTTCATCATTTTGCAGTATTTGCTTTACTATAGATTGACCGTTTGTTGCCCTCACCGGAAGAGCAGTGACCAGAGGTGGCTCCGCCAAATTCGGTGGAACGGGACTGTCCGCTGAAAATTAATGCCACAGCCGTGTGGTTTAACAGCTAGACCGACGACTTAACCGATGACAGAAGTTGGACGGATGTTTCAATTTGAATATCGTATAAATTTTACTCGCTTACTAAACAGCTTAACTATTTTAAGAAATTATTCAATACAATAATGACAATCCCGTTGTACCATTCTGTAAAATTTTCTTTAACCTTAGTTAAAGTTAGATTATGCTAAAGAATATATTAATGAAATATGATTAAGGCACTCTTGTATATATTATAATAAGTATCAATATTAGTTATTGATCTAGTTTTCTTCAGTATTATACAACCTAAAACAAGGCATATCTTAACTACGAAGCGCCTAATCTTACGAATCGATTAAACAGATTAGTTTAATTAAATATAAACTATGTTTATTTTATTTTTTGAAGTATTTGCGATCTGCCATGCGCATATAACGATTTTAGTAATTACTTAATGTCGTTAAGTGGTTCCTAGTCATTGGTGAAATACATTTTCTCCTTAGGCGATTCCTTAATATTTAGGTGACAGATCTGAGCGACTCCTAAGTTTAATGAAAACGGGCATAAGTGTCATAATAATAATACAATGTGAATAACAATATTAGGTAATAAATAAAAATAAGTAAAAGGTGCATACAGGAAAATTATGACTATGTTAAAACAACCTGAGACAAAGTTGTACATTTATAAATAAAATAATAATATACATTAAAAAGAGAACAATGGGAGAAAAACCAATAAGAGGCGCTGTCGTCACCATTAAATACCCTTACCCTAAAGGAAAATTCCATTACATCCCATGTCCACCAGGGTCCCATTTTCATTTACCGATAGAGGAATATTAGTTCTAGCCGTCTCTTTCACTCTTTAAAAATACTGTTAGAGTAAAGAGGAAGGGCGTTAAAGTCCGGGGTCGCATTTCCTTAGAGATTAATGTCCTGTGGCTTATTGCGACACACCCTAATAAACTATAGGCTATAGTCGTTTAAATTACCTAGTGAATGATTATCACATTAAGCTAGCGGTCATATATGTCAAGATCACTGCAAAACCAGTTGTTCCCCAAGAAAGTGACCGATAATTACGTTAGTACTGTCATTATTTCGGTACTCACAGTGTGCGAGCACGCGATCTCTAATTCTAAATGTAAATTTTATGAGCCGTACCGAATTCAGATAAGAGTCACGTAAAAACTTAAAGTGGCGTTGGTATAGCATAGTGTGTATTTCGTTTTCTATGGTGCAGTAGTTAGTATGGGAGTTGCGATCATACGTCGGGCGGATATCCGGAACGTTGGTCGCATCAACCTCACATTCTAATACGTCAGATACCAATACAGCTTTTTAATTTCAATTTTATGATAAAATATGGCCAAATTCAAATATATATTTTTTTATTAACTACTTGAGTGAACTAAAATAAACACAAGCAATTTAATTTTCTGTTATAAAGTATTTAATGTGTGCTGTGTTGAGAGAATAAATGATTATTATTATTTAATATAACCGCTTAAAATTAAATAAGTTTTTTTTTTGTGTATGTAATTTAATTAAACAGCCTCGAACTGTGCTGTGACAGCACATAACTGCAGTTGAATTAAACCTACATTACTTTTTAAATGCTTTTTATTTCATTAAGTCTCTATACTAAGACAACGCTCACTCGACGCCGATTTAGAGGTAGTGAAAATCGCACTTCAAAATGTGATACTCGATTAAGGTTGCTTTTAAAGTGTGTTCCAGTCATTATTCTGATGAACTGAGAAATATAAAATACCGGTGCACTTTTCCGTGCTTAAATTATTCTTAATCATGACATTTATAACCTTAACACGTATAACCTTGTTTTAGTTACCTCTACTCTAATAAAGCAAATATTATTATTTTTACAGCTTAGATAGGTGTATCATAATAAAAGTCCGATGCTGCCTAAGGTAGACCGTTGTTTTTTTCATTAAATCATGCAATAAAATTAAATCTTATGACTCAATAACAGACCATAAATAGCCATGCAAGTTGTGCATTAAGCCCTGATCACCGGACGTCGGTTATTTGCCGACCTAAACCCACGCCGTGTAGGTGTCTCTAACTTAGACAATGTTTGCGTTTTGGCCTTACTTCATTCAAAAATAGTCTCTATTACTTCTATTACTTTACAGATACACTACTGTGTTTAAATAAATTTAAATGCATCTAAGAGTTCTCTTTATAAGCAGCAAGTACACTAAGGGCCTCTTACTAACACGAGTGATTGCTATTTAAAGCAATGCGTTATTATTTGGGTTAATAAACTCTGGCGTTATGTACCATATTATTGGTGCCGGGAAACACGCCATGTTGTTTTGTGTTGGTTAATTATGCTACATGTACAGTTATCAGTGATGCTCACATGTATAATAGTGCCTAATTGATAGTAGGGGAACGGTATTTAACACAAATGCCGTAGCCCGTGTGTAGCCATTATCACTTGTGTCAGTAGCGTAAATATTTTTAATACTACTAACAGCCGTAACTATTAATAAGTATTGCACAACAACTAAGATATCAGTTATATTAAAGAAAAAAACGGTCCATACTGAGGAGTCCATAGGGCAGTGGTTAACGCATTCGATCAACTATTTCGTACCTTAACCATCTTTAGGCCACCAAAAGAGTGACCAAAAATGTATTATCTCGTGGCTCGAGGCACGAGATACCTCGAAAGTCACTTTTTGAAGGCAAAAAGACAATATTTATCCTTGCGATCCGTCAAGCCGCACTGGGGCCGCGTGGTAGGTTATATCCTGTTTTCCTTGAAGATAATATAAAAAATATATATTCCAGTATTAACAATGGGTGCTCCAGCATGGGGTTCCCGTGGCGGCGGGGACCGACCGCGTCTCTTGCGCATGACGCCCCTACGTCACAGCTTCGCCGCCCCTGCTTCCCCGCCCGCACCTCCCACTCGCGCACCGGACTACGCCTCTGACGCAGACACTAATAAGAAAGGTAATCTCCAAGAATTACATATTTGAGGACCACTTAGAATATTTTCCGGTAGCACCCAATTATCACCAGTTCATTCATTCAATATTTTTTCCGAGATTTGGTATGGGACGCCAAATGGTAAAAATTCTCCGAATAATTTTTCTGATAAGTAATTCGGTTATAAAATAATAAAAATTAGGTGTTGATCTAGTGCATAGTTTTTGAAATCAATGATAAGGAATTTTCTTTTTAAATTTCAGAGGAAAGTTGGAATGCAAACTTATCACAAAGATGGAGAAAACTAAGACGACGCTGTTCCCGGTTACGGCCCGGCTCTGGTGCTAGAGAGCCCAGTCCAGTCCGCTGTTCACCATCACCACCTAGACCACTATCACATTGTTCGCCTGCTCCACCTTCAAAACTTTCGTTCAGACATCGAGGAAAAGTATACACTACAGCATCACTCCGTGTTACTAGTGGTGCACCGGACTTATTACGAGCACTCGGCAAACTTGGTGGAGGGTTACGAAGGAGAGCTTTATCAGCACATGACGTTCTGGCTCCTCAGCAACAACAGCCAGCAACTTTCTATGTTCCTAGTCCAACGGCAGTTCGACAACCGGCATCTCCGTCACCACCACGCCAGTCCGCTACACTTCGTCGTAGATGCAGCTCACCAAACGTTTACCGAGCCAACAAAACTTCACCTGCTCCACGAAATCGCACGCCTATAATAAATAATGAAGATGAAAGTCGTGACGTGGTAGACTTCAGTTACATCCCAGAGAGAAGAAAGAATAGTAATGAAAGCAGAAGCCGCCGCCCTTACAGTGAAAATGTAGAGTTGGAAATACCTATGTACAGGAATGGTTACAGTCGACTAACAGGAGATGAGACACAAAGGTTGTGGGAGGAACCGTACAGGTTACCACGAGTACAGTCACGACAAGATTCGATGCAGCATTTGCGTAACGGTGTCGCTGAACTGCGCGTTAGTGCAACGCCAAGATCCACAAGACCTCCTCCCGCGCCACCGTCTAATCATCATAATAAAAAACCACCAGCACCCGAGCCAAGGGATAATCATACATTCGAGGTGAGTATAAAATATTCTAAATCCATAAGATTACTCATACACTCCTATATAAACTGACAGTTTTGTATTTTAAAATCAAAGTTTAACAACAATATTAACTTTCATTACTTTAAATTCCAGGTTCGTTTTACGAAGTCAGCAGGAGGAAAAGGACTTGGATTTAGTATAGTAGGTGGTAAAGATTCCCCGCGCGGGGACATGGGAATATTCGTGAAGACAATTTTTAACAACGGACAAGCTGCAGAGTCCGGTTTATTACGAGAAGGTATCATTTTTCACATTACTCCGAAATCAATTTACTCAACTAATATACCCTTTTTTGAATTAAAAAAAATTACTCGAGCGCCCATAATATTTATTTCAAGCATACTTATTCCCACATCAAGTAATATACCGCGTTTCGCCCTAATTACATATTAAAATATCGAAGCGTATATCCAGTGCTTATCGTCTCTTCCGTTGTTGCATAACCTGTGCATAAAAAATCTAAAATCTTTAGATAATTCACTTCTTTATTGAATAATAATTATTTTTCCTGGAATTACTACAATGTTGCAGTAATAACATAACAACAGACATGAATTATGGTAAAAAGGTTTTTCTAACGACCCCTTTTTGTTTTTGTATATTGAAAAGGTGCAATAAGCATTCCTTTAGAACGGTTATTAATCAGCTGCTAGTGTGCCACTAAAGCCTCGCACCTGCTACTAAACTATAAATAGCAAAAGGTTATCTGATGATAATTTATCTTAATTAACAACTAATTTAACGTATATGGCATAGATGATTTCTAAAATATTTTAATGTCTGCCTATAAAAGCTGAACCATATTTTAAGATGATTTAACATAAACAGAATCCGTTATTATAAAAAATGCATAAAATATCTTGGTCTCTCTTTTAGTACAATCACTATTAGCAACGTAGCCATTTTCTTTTTCCTTTCCTTAAAGTAACTTGGCGTAGTACCAAACTTTCATCAGATGTAATGTCATTCTGCCTGCGATTTTAACAGAACCTAACGTTTAATGTATTGGTTTAACGTTTAATGTTTTTATGTATTGGTGAACAGTATCAGTATTATATTATTTCTTTTAAATACCAATCATTTCAAAGAAACATTTCACCTTCCATAACAACATATATAGAATTAATAGATTGAGTAATTTATTTCTTTTGCTTCGTCCAACAGTCTAGAATAGATATTTAATACATGTACCATTCTATAAGTAAGCGGTCTTGCGTATCGGTTATGGTCTGCCTCTCGTGTCTACCACTTCAATCATTACAAGGGTAGAATTACCTATTATGTATGTTAAAATACTTTTGATGTTGCAATTTATTTTTTAGTTATCTAAATATAGATATTTATTAAACCACTAGAACCTAAAATTACAAAGTACACTGATGTGCAAATTCAGTAGTTTTGTAGATTGATTAAGTAAGTTAAATTTTTTTATCTAATTAATTGGGAAAATTTTCTTAATCTCAATCAATGTATATAGGTATATAAGTAAATCATGTAAGATGCATATTAATATTTCACATTAATAATATTTGAAAACGATTTATAACCCACAATTCGCCATTCTCTATTCTTATATACTTTTTTACTTTACGCCCCACATAAATTATTGTATTTAATGTTCCAGGTGATGAGATTGTATCCGTGAACGGTAGAGGGACCGCTGGTCTTACGCACGGCGAGGCCATCCGACTGTTCAAGGATGTGCGCGCCGGGCCCGTATTGCTGCGGGTGGCACGCCGCGCGCCTGCACGCTGACTACCCTGCGCCTGCTGTGAAAATTCTAGACAGCAGGCGACATATTACTCTACACTGTAAAAGCGCTCCTTAAATATATTGAGAATTTGCACTCATAATAAATGGGAAGATACACAGAGTAAGAAAACAAATCTGAGCTACAAAAATATCATCGATTTTGTTCGCATGAGCATCGTGAATTTTTCCATTTACTTTTTAATGAATTTATGTACTTCAATTAATAACAATCAACGAGTACAGCTTATGTGGAAACTTATTGCTTTATGGTACTTAAAAGCAATCGCACATAAATATATTGAATGTACATACACTAATACTGATTGACGTGAACATGTTGTAAAAAATTCTAAACAGTTGACGACTTATTACTCTTCAATGTAAAACCTTCACTCACTGCTTAAAGGTGTGTTGAACAAAAAGCTCGAAGATGAGGTGAAGGAGGTAAAGGGGCTAGAACCTTTTGAAGTAAAAAATATCAAGGCTGTTCAAATAGCGGTGTTGTTCCCCTTATGAGCAAATGTATCATCAATTTTTAAGTACTGGTAATTTTTTTTATTTATATTTGCATTAATGTGTTTGTACCTTAGTTAATAACTTTCAAAGATCTTATATACAAAAATATTGTTACATCAGACTTAAACAATTCTACCTAAAAAAATATACACTCAGCTGTTTGCATACCTATGTATCTACTACATTGAAAGACGCATAAATCATGCACATATTCATTAATACTGTGTCACTTTGTAGTTTTTTTAATATTGGGTCCTTACATATGAAATTGGTATTTGGAATGGGTGGAACAAAAAGTCGAATATTTTTTGATATAATATATTTATTTAATCAAAGTATTAACCATTGTTATCTCATAGGTAGTTCATTGATCTCCTTACTAAAAAAAACCATTCGGACGGGAATCAATAAAATCTTTGAAGACGATTTGCAACTGCCCCATCGTATTTGAATTTTTTCCCTTGCAAGAAGTTATCCAAATTTCGAAAAATCTGTTGGGGCAAGTTCCGGGGAGTACGGTGGATGTCTTAGACATTCCAATTGAAGCTCTTCTAATTTGGTAGCCGTCTGTTGTGCAGTGTGTGGTCTAACGTTGTCGTGAAGTAGCAGTGGTGTAGAGCGATTAACCAGCCTCGATTGTTTTACAGCTAGTTTTTCCAGCATGGTTTGCAATTGCTGACAATAGACGTCTGACCAGATCTGAGAAAACTGTAATGAACGACACCGGCACTAGTCCACCAAACGCTGACAAGTAACTTTTTTGGGGTCAATTTTTGTTTGGGGCAGGATTTGGCTGGCATGCCAGGGTCGAACCATTGCGATGAGCGCTTCCGATTATCATAGAGAATCCATGATTCTATTTAAAAATCCTTCATTATTGTGCCGGTTAAGTAATGTAACGCAGCAGTCGAAGCGCGTTTGCCGGTTTGCTTCACTCAATTCGTGAGATACCCACCTTTCGAGCTTTTTAATCTTTCCAATTTACTTCAAATAGATTAAAACAGTTTTATCACTAACACCGCAGCCTGCAGCTAACTCGGACGTGGTTTGCGATGGATCTGCTTCCACAATAGCCTTCAATTCTTCATTATTAACTTGGATCTCCGGCCGTCCACGGGGCTTGTTCTCCAGGTCGGAATTTCCAGAACGAAAACGTTGGAACCAAAAACGCACTATGTTTCCTTTTGCGACACAACCTATTTGCGATGTGTATGGCACATCATTAAATAACACGATATTTCAAGTTTTCCATTTTTTATACTGGGTGTCGTTATTTGGACAAACAGAAGTAAAAAAACAAATGAATGCCGCCTAACGAAACACAAATACATGTGTAAATGGCTGCATAAATTTGAATTTGGAATTCCCAACCAAGGAGGAGAAATTTGTGATTATAGTGGCCAGTACGACAAAACGCCAATTTCATATGTAAGGACCTAATAAATAACGCCATATTGCACATTAAATGTGCTCAGTAAATAAAGTCATTACAGTCTGAATAAAAGTTTTTGTCAGCTAATTAAAAATCACGGTGTAAAACTTTAATCGATCATTTACTATTTTGTCATATAACGTACACATTTTTAATGTCTGAAAATTATTGGATTCTTATAACAAGGGCTTAGACATTTTAATTCAGAGTAACCAACTATCTGGAGCTAATAATAAATCCTAATAAGCTAATAATGCATCTATTAACGTATGGTGATCTCATGATTATCAAATAATAACATAAAAAATTCAGGAAATGCAATTGATATATGTTAACATACATTAATACAAATAGATGTTATATCAGTACAAAATTCAGAACTTTTATGTATGAAATAGCATACTAAAACAATATATTCTGTAGCATGTGTTTATATATTTTTTAAACATGATCAGGGTGTATACCCGAATTAATTAATTAAAAATAGCAATTTGTCAGCCAGTTGCACAAACATCCATTAAAATTTTCATTAGTTTAAAGCTACACTACCCATACATATATGTCATTCATTAGAGCTTAAAGGAGTCATTAAACCTTATGGACTTTTGTGCAACTGACTGTGAGTGGGTTTTGAGACTACGACCTTTGTCTAGATCGAAGTCTCAAAACCAATTTTCAATATACCCCAAACTTCACACCTGCCCACTGTACTGCACTAATATAAAATACAATTAGAACCAAAAGACGACGAAACAATTTATATATCGAAATATCGAATTATATTTTGAGAGGACATATGTTCGAATCACTGTTCTCTGCTTCGTGTTCATGTTGTGAGTGTGCATGAAGCGCTATTGAATATGTACAGTTACCAGCACGTCAGACTATACAGAAATGACAAATTTATCCTTAATGTATTGCATATATAGATCAAAATCATTAAGGAAATTTGACATATTGCGGTAGCCTGATATGCAGCCGTGTGTACATTTTGACACATTGTGGTAGCCCGACATGCAGCCATGTGTACATTAGTTTTGAGTTAAACACTAACCCCACATTCACTATAACTGAGTCTAAAACTGCTACCAGTTCTAGAGGTTGTTATGGTAAAATTTTGATTACCCATAAGAATTTCCACTCCCATTTTCATCCCTTAACTGCATATGCTGGTTTTCGGGATAAAATATAACTTATTACCTTCCCAGGGTACTAAACTACTTATATACCAACCTGCCTACCAACAGGCCTCTGTAGGCTAGTCTAAGATCTGGTGAATCAAACTCTGACAAGAAAGTGATGTGATTTTGCATGGTGCAATAAAAGGTAGGTTATACAATTACATGGGTATTGTTTCTATAAATAATATCGTTTATTTTACTTGTGATTACTGAACTAAATCACAAGTAAAATAATAACTTCTGGCATATTTTAATGTAAACACCATCACAGAAGAATTGATAGCTTAAAATCCGTTCACAGTACATACTAGCACCTACAAATGGTTTAATGTATTAAAATTATCTGTGATATAAATATTCAAAGAAGTATTTCAAAATTGGATTGTAGCTTTTAAATGAATAAATAATTTATTTTGTAAGCTCTACTTATTCATAAGTTAAAAAATATAACTAAAAAAGATGAGTATTAAATGAATAATCAAATGTATTATAGATAATAGTTTGTGTACATAACAGTTTAAAGCATTAGAAATGAGAAAGAACGAAACAACTCAATATTACATACGATACTTTCAAGCATATTATTTAAGACTACCTAATTTTACTAATAAAACACTAAATGTAAATCCTACTGTAATCGGTAATTCTATATATTTTTATTTTTTATAAAATATAAAATGTTGCCTACACTCTGAGTAGAAGGTACTTAAAAAAATTCGCATCGAATTAACTATACGACTTGTAAGCCTTATAATCATATGATGATATTTATATATATAATTAGTGTAAGCATATTTTTTTTTATAACTTAGTGAATATAATTGCATTTGATATATTTATATTTTGTATAAATAAAAATTGCCTATCAATGATAGATCATGAATATTATTACATTTTGTTTTATTTATAACCATTAAGCAATAAAAAAGGTTGTAAGTATTTATTTTATAAGTTTAAATTAACATAATTTACGAATGTAAATAACAGTACTATTTGATCGCTATTTTTTTTAAATATAGAAAAACGTAATAAAGACTGCGGGAAGGTGTTCTGGTTGTAGATAGGTATTAAGGAAAAAACGTCAAGTAACTGCAAAGAATATAATTCCATAAAGTACAGTAATACATCGTATAGATAAATAAATCATAATGTTTCGATGAAAATTGTCGTTGTTTAGTTTACACAAACTATATCCTATGACAAGAATTAGTACGAAATTAAATTATATGAAAACAAATATTTACAATTAAAATTATAATTTTAAATCTAACGTTACATACTTAATAATGGTAAACTATAAACAAGACCTTATCGATGGCAAGTATGATGTGATATTATATAGATTTACATTTTTCAGATTGTGTACTATCAATTAAGATCGGAATAAATTAATATCAGAACTGTCATCAAGCAATTATGTAACGTAAACATTTAACTATAGATATCGCTTTACATTATAATATAAAGCGATGTCTACCCATTGGTGACAATCCTGTTGCCACGAACTAGATTAATTTTAGTTTTAAACCTGCGTAAAAAATATCAATTCTGTAACAACTAAGATGACATTAGTTAGAGTGTACAGCATTTATATTTTGTAAAAATCCAGCGTCGAATAAAGCGCTAAAATAAATATTATTAATTAAACCTCTAATGTGCTATACATAAGAGAATGTGCTATATATTAGAAGTTTAATATATAATATCTATTTCAAAAGTAACGAAGGTTTTATTTGGTTGAACCGTTAATGCTGTGATAGCGCTGTGTTCGACGATATATTTAACAGAATAGCACTGAAAAATAAATTATTATTCGAGATTTATTAGTTTTTGAACGATACAACAGAATTGCCTCAAATTTGTCCTAATTAGCTAAACGCCAATGAATCATTTCAAAAATTGATAAACTTTTTTTTTTTTGCTTAAATCAAACTGACAAATGGTTTTCTACAGTTCTAAATATTAATTTCTATTTCACTAAAAGGTATTATCATATTCAAAGCAATATTATACAAACATTTTATAACGAGTTAATGTAATAAGAATGCAATAGCTATGTCGTTTCACTGTCCGAACATATTATTACTGCTTATGCTTACGTTTTAAATAAGTTGCAGTCATATTGAGTATGAGAATGCAATTTGAAATCGCAACTATTTTAAAATCGCAATTGATTTGAATATTATAAAAAAAATTCGCGATGGCACTTATTATTAGATCAAAAGAATCATAATTTTGAAATAGTTTTACACAAAGAATAAAAATGTTAACGTATCAACCATAGTTTGATAAGCATAACTACTGTTGAGACTAGGATTAAATTAAACGAATAAATATTTTCCACAAACTATACGCAGTCTTAGAGTCACACAAAAATATATTTTACGTATTTTATGGAGATTTGTATGTGTACACAAACCACATCAGATTACTACAAAAGGTAGTCTTTTTCAATTTTGAACTTCACAATTATCACGCTTAAAATCGATTGGCAAAATTAGGCCTCATGTAGGAACTGACATGCTGTCTACTATACAAAATCAACGCATACCCGCTGTTAAAGTGACTATGGGAACAATCCGCTGCAGCACCGAGCACTTCCCCAAATTTAATGTTGTTAGCCATCAGTATTTTTACTCATCGACAAACATTGTCAGACAAATCACACTTGTTAAGCTCAGCACTAACCAAATCCGAAAGGTGCTCACGTGTCAGTGAACTGATTCGGCCCAGGGCGCATCGTTCTGCCTCCACGGTCGTATTTGCCAAGAGAATTACATTAATCCGATTCTCGATACAGATATTGAATATATTCTTGTATTTCAATATCGGTTCAGATAAATTATTAAAATATTTAAAACTGTGTACAGTTTATCAATCATTATATTGAGATATTAGTGAGTTTACAGTTATGTAAACATGAAATTTCTCTACGGAGAACACTTTTTCTCTAGATTTATGACATAATAACTTGGGCCAGAAAAAAAAACTTTGATGATTTATTGAAAAGTTATTTTTTAGGATTCCTAAGTACCAGAGCGACTGGTCCAACGGGCAATGCCTTTAGTGCAGCCCAGGCCTGAGTCCGCGTGTATCCCTCCATAGACTGTCCTCCAGCTGAAAGTAGTTCGGCTCCCACCAACACACGCCCACTTTGAGCAGCCGCTCCTCCTAAAAGATTTACAAGAAATTTGAATCAAACAATGTTATCAATGCAATTTTCTGTAAGGACTACCTGACCTTAGTCTCTATATGAACATCTGCATTAGAATACCCTACAACTGCTTATTCTAACGTAAAAGTATTTAAATAAAACAGCTGTTTAAGGTACCTGAGAACTTATATAAGTAGTAAAAAAGTAACAAGTTTATAAGGTATGTAAGGTATCCTAGCAAGATGACTGAAAGTAAATGGAAATAATATTTATTTTTATATTGTGACACAAAAACTAAAGGAGTCTCGTTTTAAGGTCAAACTTTTTTAACGAATGAGGGATATCAAAAATTTGATAAAATTTTGTTCATTTCTCATTTTTATTAAAGAATATTTATTTTATTTTGTACATATATAATTAAACAATACTTGAGTTGTAAGAAGAAGAAGTTTTTTATTTTTGTTTTTTATTTTATGAATCGACAACAATTTGGTTTTACAAGGGGTCGCTCGACAACCGAAGCCGGTGTCGAGTTAATACAAGAAATTTTTAATGCCTGGGAGGATTCACATGATGCGTTAGGTGTTTTCTGTGACCTATCTAAGGCATTTGATTGTGTTTTTCATGAAACATTGATTAGGAAACTGCATTTTTATGGATTTAGAGATAACTCATTGGATTTTATTGTCTCATACTTGACTGACAGAGTACAGAGGGTTGATATCAATGGCAAAAGATCCCCTGGATCGAAAATTAAGATGGGCGTTCCGCAGGGCTCAATACTTGGTCCTTTCTTGTTTTTGATTTACATAAATGACTTGCCTTATTTCGTAAGGGATGATCACGAAATAGTTTTGTTTGCGGATGACACTTCACTCTTGTTTAAAATTAAAAGAGGGTTACCTCTAAATGACGATGTGAACAATTCTATCGCTAAAGTAGTACATTGGTTTAATGTAAATAATCTTCTCCTTAATGAAGGAAAAACAAAATGCTTAAAATTTGTACTACCTAATGTTAAAAAAGTAGATATAAATGTTAATGTAAAAGATAAGAACATGGGCCTTGTGGATACCACAGTATTTTTAGGAATAACATTAGATTCTAAACTACAGTGGGGCCCACATATTGATAGATTGTCGAGTAGACTTAGCTCTGCAGCATATGCCGTAATGAAGATACGTAGGTTAACTGACATAGATACTGCCAGATTAGTATACTTCAGTTACTTTCATAGTGTTATGTCATACGGTATCCTATTGTGGGGAAATGCTGCCGACATACAAACAATTTTTGTGCTTCAGAAAAGAGCAATTCGATCAATTTATAATCTTAGGATTAGGGACTCTTTAAGGGAGAAATTTAAGGAAATAGACATTATGACTGTTGCTTCTCAATACATATACGAGAACTTAATGTACGTTCGTAAAAATATTAGTTTGTTTTCTATAAAAAGTGATGTACACAATTTTAATACAAGAAATAAAAATAAATGAACGGTGCCTGTCACTAGACTGCAAAAAGTTAATAACTCTTTCAAGGGTCTTTGTGTGCGCTTCTACAATAAGGTCCCAAGCAAAATACAACAATTAGATATCATGCAGTTTAAATCTACTATTAAAAAAATACTTATTAAAAAAGCTTATTATAAGGTATCCGATTATGTAACAGAACGCTTGGACTTGAGATGATCCAGCAACTGGATAGGTGATTACTTCTAAACTCATTATCTTGTTTCCATTATTATTAAATGATTATGTTATTATTATAAGACCATAGTTTTTTTTTTATCTCTGTTTATAATGTATTGATCTGGTAATGACATGGTTTTTGTAAATGTCATTACTCATATTAGAGCTGGTGAGTTTCTTGCTCGTTCTTCTTATCAGCCAAAAGACGTCCTGAACGAGTGGTAGGGAAAAAATGTTGGACGATTCAAAAGTACTTTTAAGAAGTCTATTTGAATAAAGATTATTTTGACTTTGACTTTGACTTTGTTTAGACAATGTTTCATAATACTATTGTGTTTTAAATTTTTCCTACATATCTCACTGACACCCATTTTCACTGACCTAGAATAAGGCATAACTTAAATAAGAAACGCCTAATATTACGAATCGCCTAAGCAAATTAGTTTATTTTTTTTTCTTTTATCCCCACATATTTATGACCTGTCAATTACGCAAATGCCTAGCGCAAGGCGCCGTATAACGAATATCATAACTTTAGTTATTGCTTATTTTCGTTAGTTGGTTTCTAGTCAATGATGAAATGCATGATTCCTAAATATTTAGGCGACAGCTTAAAGCGGCTCCTAAGTTTAGTGAAAACGGGCATTGTCACTACGGGTTATATATTTATCATTTTAAAATCGTATAGACACCAAGCGACAGTAATGAGTGGATAAATTATTTATTGTATTGCGTCATGCTGTAACAAAAGGATATAAGGTTCAAACAGATACAACACAATTCATAAACATACTACATTAATTACTATATTAAGGATAAATAGCATTTTTTCGTAAATACGAACAACCTTTACCTACTGCTTTACTTCTTTTAGAATCGCATGTTGAAAAATTGAAAGAAAAAATTAGTTTTCTCTTCTACTTTAAGATTTTTTTTAAAGAAAAACTATGTAGACATTTCTTTTCAAAATATAGAAACATAACGTCAATATGAAATATTACCATTGATTTTACAGAAATTTTAATAGTTCCGGTTCATTTGTTTCAGCAAACATAATTACGTAGTATTGTTTGAGTATTGTAAACAGTAGGCTGCGTAAAACGTATTTTCAGAATTCAATAGTGTTGATTGGTATGTACACTGCAATAGGTGAAAGCATAATTTAGAATAGGCAAATTTTTTATATTATTGGCTGTCATACAGTTTGATTTTTTTAACAATCAATATAATTATCATGACGTCATCTTAATAATATATAATTATGCTACCTACATGAACTATAGTTTATATTAAGATATGATAATGAAGTAGAAATAAATGATATAAATAATTGTAAGAGTTTTTGTGTCTAGATTTGATTTTCGAATAAGAAATCGCTAAGTTATTTATTTAAACTGTATTATCAATTAAGCCTTTCATAGTACCTAGCTTTATTTTTTCAATAGTGCCTTAATTCTAAGGCCAAGATGACATTATGTCACTCCTCGATAATGAATTGGTACAATGCTAATGTGTACTGAATTGAGCCAAAGATTTGCCAATTACATTTTAGAGTTATTCACGAACAAAAATTCTAGAATCACGATTTCTTAACGATTGAATCACAAATTATGATTTCAAGGCCTTATCTAATCTGCGTAAATCGCCACCATTCTTTTTGTCTTTCGATTACAAAAAGCATCAGATATTTCGTTTTAAAACTTAATGGAATAATTTGACTGCGTTAACAATTTTATCGATTTTTATAATCCTGGAGGTTCAAATGTCATAAGAATTAGTTCATAAAAAAATATAATATTTCACTGTATGTAATTCCATCAAAACAATAATTAAATAAATAAATATTAAACAACATCACACATATTTCTCAGTTTCCAAAATGAGTCGCTAAAGCACTTGTATTATGGAGTATCCGAGACAACGAAGATAACACAACACCCAGACCCGAGACAATATAGAAATGTCCTTTTTCTACATTGACCCGACCGGAATTCGAGCCGGGATCCTCAGAGATGGCAACACTTTGAAACCGGCGTGCGAACCACTCGGCTTAGGAGTTTGGAGGTCGTACAATGTTTCTACACTGTCTATAGATAATGATGTAGCCCCAAGGAGTTCCAAATTTTGTTAGATATTAAAAATATAAGGCTGGGCTTTATCAAATCACTGATTTAAAACTAATAGGGATGATGACTAATTTTTGTTTGTTTGTCCGTCAGGTAGAGTGTTAAAAAATATTAAACACGTATTTTTTTATTCTTTTCGTAATCATGAAATTTCGCTTGACTTCACGTTAGGGTACGTTTTCTACTCAACTGTGACGTAGCGAACCCCCACTCCTCAACTTTAATGCCTGTTATCTAAGCTATTTCATGTTAAATTGAAATAATAAAAAAAATACGTATCTAATATTTTTCTATTATCTGACTGACGGACTAAATAAAATTGCATTTCTTTACCCAGTCATCATCCCTATTATGAACAAATTAAATAAAGTTTAAAATTAACTGTTATCAAAATATCATCAATTTTATCATATAGTTTATGGATGCTGTATTAATATTATTTTATTTTAAATATTATGGATATTATTTAAGCAGGTTAGGAACAAAAGGTTTTTTGAGTTTTCCAACGCCAAATGATAATTTTGAATATATTTTGATCCTTTCGAATTAAAAATCATATGACGTATATACCCTTTTCCTTTTTTTTTACTCATCAATTATTTATTCATACCTGCAAATAGTTTCTTGATCGTGAGCGGTCTGTCACCGTGCGGCGAGTCACGACCTCCATCGAGGCCGAAGCCAAGCCCGGCGCCTCCGCCAGCCTTGTCCAGGACCACAGTGACCACATTCGACGACGACCTCTCATCTGTGGAATCCACCTCTTGTCGAACCTTCGACTCCGCTGTAAACAACGATGTAACATATTATTCACTAACCAGTCAACTTTATAATATTCTAGAATTTTGAGCTATTTGAATTTTATTTCTAACTGAGAAATATAATAAACAAAGCACATTTTATTACAATATTGCCATTTTTCATGTAATTTTGTCAGCCCTAATTCTTATCATTACCAAAAATAAAAAAAAACGCCTATGTTTATAAAAAGCAACCGATTCATTACAATTATTTTTATAAAAAATCTAAAAAAATAAAAAAAAAACTAAAAAAAAACGTATATATAAGATTGTATCGTAAGGCTGATCAAGTATATTACCATTTTCAGAGCCGCATCCAATTCCTCTCGAATTTTCATGAGTTTCATTTTCTATTTCAATAATAACTTCTGATCGTTGCTCCTGTAAAATTATAATATAAAATTATGTTTCAAAAATGTTATCTACCTCTATCTGTATGGTACCGAACTCCTTGAGGTATATAAAGTTAAAATTACCTTCAATATAGTAACGGACTGGGCATGAGTTAGTCCTGTCATTGTACAACCGTTGATACTTCGCACCTTGGCACCTCGTTTTAGTCCTGCCTTTGCGGCAACGCTGTCTGCTAGCACACGGTGTACCTATAATTATTTATTTATGATATCGATTTAAAAAGTATTCTCTAAAATTAAAATGTAATATTTAGTGAAAATAATATTACTAAATTAAATAAATGTTGTTAAACCGTTCAGACATTTACCACCCCCACACTAAGATCACATTGAAATATTTTTTAATGATATATCTAAGCGCTTCATTCACTAAATTTGTGATTTGGTGAAGACTTATATTACAAAATAACTACTTGCGAGTACGAGTTACAAGTACGAAAGAAAAAATAGAGACTATGACTGTGACTAAAAGCAGAAGAACCTGCAATAAAATCTGAACTTGCTGAGAGGTTCGTAATACTTTTTTATACTGACATTTGCCATTATACGTTACTTGAATTGAACATCTCTAACATTTAATTTAATTATAATGACATGTAAATTTTTAAATACACTAAAGAGCCATAGTAATACATTATATAGGTTTTAAAAATTAACGTACCGTGACGTCTTTAGCTTCACAGTCAATGCCACCGGCTAAGATCAGTCCCACGCCTGTGCCAGCGCCCTTTTTTAGTCTGATAGTGTGCGTGGGTATATCTACATCTTCCAATTTAAGACTATCACTTTTATCAGCATAAAGTTCTTTCTTATTTATATTTTGAGAAGATTTCACTTCGTTTGTTGAACTAGAGTGATTTAAAATAACGGCTGTATTCTTATCTACACTTGTTTCACATATTACATTATTTTTTATTATTTCTTCTTTTTTAACCACTCGTCTTTCAATCAATACAGGTTCGATTTTATTAGTATCTAACACTTTCGTTATCGTTTTGTTACTGAAGTTATCAAGTCCTGCTTTTTTAATTTCTTTTATGATTTTTTCTGATATGTGTTTAGGCGCATCCTCGGTTTCGATCGATTTATTTTTATTAGCTGAGCTAGAGTTCCGCTTTAGTCTCGTATTTTTAAAATCAGTCTTTCTTTGCCGGACATTGACATCACTATCACTATCAGAATCAGTTTCGGCAATTATTTTATTACGTCGTCTGTTTTCGCCTTTATTAGACACGGCACTCACCGATGATGTGAGTGTAGAAAGGCGTTCAGACTGTTTATCTGTTGGACTTGGAGACCTGTCATGTGACTCGTGCGAAAACTTGGTTTCAATAACAGGAGACTTGAGCTTCGCATCTCTACCACTTCTACATTTAGCAGAAGCTAATATATTTCTTCTGTTGATAGTGTCTATATTGTATGATTTTGAAACCTTTTTCTTATCCGAGTCAGCAACAGAACTTTCTAAAGAACTACAGCTTGCTTGAGACCCTGACGTAGCTGCCGACCCAGCTGACGAGCTAAGTGAAACGTTTGTGTCTGATGACACTGATCGACAGACGTTTCGTTTTTTATATTCCTCATTCTTTTCAATAATTGTAGACTTTACTGTAATATCAGCTTTTATGTGAGGATAAGAGTTGTAATTTGATATTCTTGGTGAAACGCGTGAACCATCTGATTCTATTGTATCAAGATTATGCATTGGCGATGATGCAGAAGATCTATAACTTGACTGAGTAGAACTCATTGCAGAATCATTATCACTATCAATGACGTCAGTTGCTGTACAAATTTTAATTTCAACATTTTTATAATCCCTAACATAATTCATGATGTCTTTGTAATCTTTTTTAGGCAAACTATTCATATTTGTTAAACTTGATTTATCAGGTAACGCAGCAGTCGACCTCCCAATATCATTAATTGTATCTACAGAAGCCCTCATAGGTGTAGCTGTATATGTCATTACTTTACTAAACGCATCAATCTTCTCAGTGAATTTTCTTTCTGGTGTAGATTCTTTTGACAAAGAAGAAGGTGTATACAACTGCAAAGATTTCCGCTTAAAAGCTGGTGAATACTTCGGTATGTTGTTAGGCAAAAGACTAGCTTTCCATTTGTCTTCTTTTAACATTAAAGACTTAGTATTATTTGATTTGATATCTTTAGTACTTACATTATTTTGATTTGATCTAAAAAGTAATGACTTTGTTAATGAGTTGTCCTTAACTTTAATTTCAGGCAAATCAACGATTGGTCCTTGAGTTTCAGGTATCACTAGACATTTCAATTTTGACATAGATTTCTTTCTTTGTTCTATTAAGTACTCTAGATTAGACTTATGTGTAGATGTTGTTGAACTTGAAGAATCATCGCTAATACTCCGCATATGGTATATCGGTTGAGAAAAGGTATCGATAGGAGACGGTAATGTAGTAGTACTTCCATAAAAGAAAGGTTTACTTTCAGAATGAAGAGATTTATTACTTCTTGTGGTACCTAATGTAGAAGTGACATTTTCATGGGCACCCAGTACTTCGGGTCTATCTGTATGCTTTTTATAGGAACAAAGTGTATCATCAAGATTATCTTGTGACTTTGTGAGTCGTCGATCCAAGGTGGAAACTTCAGGGTAATTATTTATATAAGAAGCTGTACTTTTCCTTGCATTTGAATTAGTACGGGCTGGAAGTGTACCACATTTTTCTAGATGATCTGTAGAATTGGTACGACTATTTGAAAACATAGCAATTTTATCTTTCACACTGGCTTCACTTCTTGCATCTTGAGTACGTGACGAGTAGGAATATCGCGACCTTGAGTTCGGCCACCCAGAGGGAAGTCGGGGAGGCAATCTTGTTGGTGGTTCAACCACTTTTTCCATAGTGTCTGACGGGGTTTCCACTCCATCAGGTGGTTGTCGTGGACACGAAGGTAGTGGTGTTTCATCATTAGAAAGGCTTTTGTCTTCAGCATCGCTCTTGTTTACACGATCTGAAAATAATAATATAAGGATTATTTAAAGAAATTAGCAGCTCTTTTCTAGAAGTAAAAAACAATAAATTAAATATTAAACGGACAACGGAAACAATTTATAAATCAACGTTTGTTTACATAAGTTAAATAAATTACTATAGTTCTGTTCGGCCTCTCTTGAGGCACAGTTAACACGCATTAATATTATCTGCACGCACGCGTGTCTCTGCCATGTCTGGAATATCAGCTGATATAATTAACACCGAAAATATTTGCCATATATATTATTTGTTCTATAGCAAATATTGCTTATTTAAGAAAAGTAGCTGTATGATAATCCTATATAGGTATAGTATTAACCTTTATTAATTTATTGCATTGATAAAAGTACCAACATTTAATTTTAATTGAATTTATAATATATATATAAAATTGTCTTATTCCATGATACATTTACGATTATATTACGATTTGAAGGTAGGCACTCGATTACGGAACATGTAGAAAAATTTCTTATCACAAGTAATTCTAGTTCGCTTTACTCAAATTCTAGAGTAGTAAAATCAATTAAAAAGGATAATCTTATGATAACGCCTGTATCTTTTTTCGTTTATTTAAAAATAATTTATATCAATAATTATATTAATAATTACTTTAGTTACTGATATCATTTGAAAACTAACTTTCATTCAATTATAATTTCTTGAGCGAGTCAATACCAAAATAAATAATATCTTTATAAGTTGATTTTATTAAAAAATGCAATAAAGTAAGCTTTAGTTATTATTATGAAAAGTTTCGTAATAATTAATTGTGCAAAGCGGAAACGCAAGAAAAATATAGATTGTGTCAATTGGACATCGTCACGTGCAATTCGCTAAATGTAAATATCCAATGTGTTTTATTAATAATATTAGAAGATATATCTTATATCTTTTTTGACACAAATATTTGACAGTGTTCTAATGGTTGCTTTAATGTGTAATAAGCTTTTACCGCCTAAAAGTTCACATGTATGTCACATCATACAAATAAAATTGGTTATTTTTATTTGAGAAGTTACTCAGTAAATCAATAATGACATCATGGAGACTCATCCTTGAAGTTATACAAAGATGCAGGATATCACACAAAGAGGCTGTGCCTATGAATCATTCACTTGGTGTCTTATTACAGTTGACCAATACGTAATATTAGCTAAACGATGCGTCATTATCACGGGCAAGCCTATTTTATAGCTCCGTTATGTCAACTTAAATTGCATTCAAGCGTTTAAGTATAAGAAATTAATATTATGCCTGATTTAAACACATAACTCATTCATTGACTATTCTATAAATAAATTTGAAGTGCTTCGACCTTCTTTCTCCTCTTCTATAGGAAGCAAATAGTAAGCATGTTTCAACAAATTAAAAGTTTGTATATCACTCACTATCACTTTATGAGAATACATAATTAAAAGTCATAATACAAATGAAAATTAATATGCTCACTGGAAGATGTATTGATGCCAACTGCGGTTTTTCCTAAGAAAACATACATTATAGACGTAATCTTGAAAAATGTTATTCAGACGCGGCACGCTTCTTTACATTTAAACAGGTGTAAATGAAAATCCTTTACAAAGTACCCGTACAGGGTTTTCTTTTAAAAGAGTTTATTATACACAATGAAATTGGAACAAAGACATTGACTTGGTTTACTCAGATGCGCTGTATTTCTGAATATTAAACAGATTTATCCTTCGTCATTACGAATAAATATAAGTATTGTATAACAACAATTGGAAGAAACTAATTTATGTTTACCGTAAAATGTCAAAAGATATTTATTTCACAGGAAACAATAAAAGAGCACAATTTCCGTTTCACGAAGGAATTTCACAAGTAAGCAATTTTTTTTATATGCAAATTTAATCGACCGCGATGAATTCTGCTGACATACTTACATATTTTGTGCTGGTCATTCAATACTTTCAGTGATAATTAAGTTTCTTAAAGTTGATTATATTCAACAATACGTTGTAGGTACAATTAAATAAGGATATTGCTTTATAATACTTATATAGAACTATTTCAAATCACTTCATTAGTAAATGTATAACTAACGAATCAAGTTACATCATACTATCGATCATGAATGTTCTATCTAACTACCGATTTATTTTTCAAAAGCTTTTCCTTACTCGTAACCATCGTAGTCATACTAACAAAGGTTATTTTTAACCTGATTATAGGGTGAAAAAATAGGTTCGTGGTAGAGGCGCTTTTAAATAACGCCTAAATTAACTTCAATAGTTATGGAAATGATTTCACTATCTTAGTTTCTATACTACTGTTTATTTCCTTAAAAGTTTTGGTACAACAACTTGTTAAAATAATTCTCTATAATAATTTAAGGCAAAAGGGAGTTAAAACTGCTAAAAGATAGTAAGCAATATATACAGATTTTTTTTTGTGAAGTTTGTTTTATATTCATTCATGCTACATGCTATTTTTTGTCCAAATTTAGCACTATGTCGTAAACAAACTAAAGTATGCAAATACTAAACTTGTAAAACCAGATGAGGTGATTACACTGCCATATGGCTAAACTAGAGATAAGTGTGTTAATTCTAATGTGCAAATTTCAACAATTAACTTTGTAAAAGTTATGAATTAAATTATCTCATATTATTAATACACGGTAAAAACATCTTAATTTCGTATGTTTTAGAAGCGATCAACTTAAAAAAATATACAAACCCTGAAGAGACATTGAACGCCTGGGCAACTTTCTTGTTTCCAACATGGTGACAATAAAAGTTCTATAACGTTCAAACTGTTTGTTCCAGATCCATTTCGAGACACATCACTATCGTTTAGCAAACCAGTTTTGATTTCTATTCATTGAAAAAAAGTTAACTTTCATTGTTGTACCATTGAGAAAAATGCACAAAAACAAGCTAAGCATCTCACACGAACAAAAAAGCGCCTAATGTTTTGGGAAAACTATTAATGATTGTTCTCCCGGTCGGAAAGAGGATCAAGTTGAGAATGCGGAACGTGTCCATTAAAGACCGAAATAACAGTTATTTAACATAGGGCGGTGCGTGCGGTGTGCGGCTTGCGCCTGCGGCGGTGTGAGTGGCAAGCGGCGTGCGCGGAGCCGCCGCGGCGGGGCGCGATGCACTGAGTCGAGGTGGACTTGCAGAAATTTGCAGCGTCGCCGCCCTTGACGGGGGCGTTGCTCCGCGCCAGGGACGGACACCGAGCGGCGCACGCGACGCTTCCCCGCCTCCAGATCCGGCTCGAGGAAATTTGACACCACAGAAGCATAATTTCTTGTATCCCCGATGAACAATTTAATAACAAAATTTTCACATGCTATATATGATAATTCAATAAAGTATTACAGTTCTTTGTCCATCATCGCATGTTTATGTACATAAAATTGAGACACATAAAGAAATAGTTATTGTAATAGTTAAACTATAACAGATTTTCTATATTTCTACATCCACTCTTCTTCGCGTATTACACGTTAGTCAAGTTAGCATCCTGCTGCATAACTTTAACCTATAAAATAAGTAAAAAGAGGGACATATTGACAAATCATTCGTCATGTCCAACAAACAAAAGAGCAAACGGCAAACATAAAGCGAATAATAAATAATATAAAATTATACACAATTTCCGTATAACGACTAGGTTTGCCTTTAGCGAATTTAAATTTGTAAAGCCTTCAGCATCGCTTCGTTAACTAACAGACATGTACGAGCCGGCCCTGTGTGCATCCCACGGCCACCACGCCGACGGACGCCTCGCACACCGCCTGCGTCCTTTTCAGACGTGTCTAACCGAACTCTAGCCTTTTCATCCAACCGTCTAAATGCTTTCCATAATATCAGACAGACAAAATGTTTGATGCATTAATTTAAAATTTCTCTAACTAAAAAGTGAGAAGCTTATGTCTAAATGTAGAGAAGGAACCGAGAAAAATGAAGGACAAGAATAAATGGAAAGAAATACACAGAAATGCAGAGGAAAAAAAGACCTTTACTTTTGCAATACATTTGTGAGAAGAAAGTGACGATCAACAATGGAGTAATAAAAATGACTTTTTACTTAAATAAAAGACTATTATAATACTGATAGTACCTGCAACAAATGTTGTATTATCTGTTTTATATTTTAGATTTTTAATAAACAAAAGAAAAATCCAACAAATATTAAATAAGAGCATAAATTATTTATATGATACTGGATTAAAAACTACTAAATTAACAGGTCTTAACCGACCTGGCGATTACAGTTCATGCGTAGAGTTTCTGTGAAAATTAGGCATATCTAAAGGTTGAAATGCTTCTTAATATGTATTTAGACTGAAAAATGAGAGAAAAATTTTTAGTCATAAATCAATTCATTGTAATATGACAAGGGTTGAAACAATATGCCCTAAGATAAAATTTAGCTTACTAAATATGATCAAGTATTATATTTGGAAAGAGTATTGTTACAATTATATGTTTTCATATTATGCAATTTTTGTATACGCGTCCTTGTATTATGGACGTTAAAATTGAGTTATTTTTAGCAATAAGGCGTTTAGGGCGGCGACTTTAAATACCCACGTAAATACGATGCCCGCTCTGCCAGATGTTAGGGTCAAAGCGCCCAACTCGAGCACCACATTTGTTGTATACAACGACGCTTTGTCCCTCGAAAGTCGAGATCCGGGATGCGTACAAGTTTTAAGTGCTTTCGTTTCAGTATTTCGGTAAAGTAACGAGTGGCATCGTGGAATGCGGCGCGTGTATGTAGGCAGGAGTGACGTCGCGATGGAAGCTGGAATGCTGCCTGCGCCCTCCGCGCTCGCCCCTCGCAATCCGGACGCGGCCTTTAAACTGCTCCAACGTGTTTGCGGAGCTGTTTGCACATTTTTTACATTCCTGTCCATTTATTAAACTCTCTTACAGCAACCTCAATATAGGTAACACAGAAACACAGTTGGTTCTGTGGCTGAGCTTGTGCAGGCTT